ATTTGTAGGATATAAACAATATTATTTATAGATAAGTATAGTAACTCTAATAATCTTATCTACTACTACTACTATGTTTGATTAATATATCTAATATTTTTTTGGATGTTTTTTGTACAATATTAAGAAAAATCTTATCAGCATATTATATTTGTTGATCTTGATATTGGCTTATGACAACCAATAATAGAATAAAATTTGAAAGATATCAACGTACGAAATACCTAATCATAAACGGTTGGTAATAATACGTTCACAATGCTACAATGGGATCGATGAAAGCTACCCAACATACAACGTTCCAAAGAGCAATTCCATTGTGTTTTGAATACTGTCAAGTTTAGTAATAAATTTTTACGACTTGTTTTATTGTTCCGATATATTCATTTCCAGAAAAATGAGAAATAAGATTTTAAGTTTCGGTAGGCTTCCATTATAAAAATGCGGAACCAGATGCAGAAGCGGATGTGAAAAAGTATGCGAAACTTTTGTAGTTTCAGAATCGGAAGCAGAGGTCTGTTGTAACACTAGTTTTGACCCCTTTGTTCAGTTGTTTCAGTCTTCAAGCATACACTATGCTTATAGATGTACCAATTTCTTGATATTAGTTTCTACAGTACAAAAACATTGAAACCAGTGCTGATCGTCATTTAGATTTGCCAACGAGTTCTACTTAAATATTATTGTCATCTCTGTTCTTTTAGATTTTAACGCGTATGCTGTTTTCAACTGAGCATAATATGTGAACGGGAGTCCACAAGAATGGATCCAATTTGAACAGGTGACCTGTTTTCAATGTTTTAGAATGAACTTTACGAGGGTTTGATTAAATTTAAGACAATGGTTGTAGAAATCATTTTACTACTTTTTCTTACACTAACTAACCCTTAAAAACATTGTCCATAAACTTCAATATCAAATCAACCACTTTGGATGACTTACATCATATGATTAAAAAGTCAACAAAATTAGATAATATGTTAAGTACCAACACCTGAAACTTGAGAATTTCCACGCGCAAGCACTTAAACATCCAGATTTGTAATAAACACTTACTAAAGAAAACTGTTTTTATCAGTGATTGACAGATGAACAGTAACAAAAAATTTCCAGTTATAATTAAGAATTAGTTCCATGATAAGATACAATCTGGATAATTAATTAAACTTATTGAACTTTTTTTTTTCCATATCAAGGGTGTGTCCCTTTTGGACTGCTTATAAAAAAGCTCGAGGACATGTAGAAAATTGAATTTTATGTTAGCAAAAAGTCGTAAAGCTTTCGAGGTATTCAGAAAGCAGTAAAATAATTGGTTTTTCATTTTTCATTTATTTCAAAAAACTTTCATTATCAAATAAGTGATGTAACTATCGACGCGACGCGTTGAACAGAGAAGTTGTTTGGAGCTCCATGCCATGGGGGCCCTTGAGATGCTTTTTGCTAGTTTTTAGTTTTGATAAAAAGTTGGTGAAGTTAGATTATTCAACATTTTCAGGTAGAGCCTCTACTCAGGCCTCTTTTTTCCATTGGGCACTCTGGGCAAATGCCCAGGGCCCGACGATCAACGAAGGCCCCCTACATAGCCCCTGCCAGATCCATCCGCCAACCAAAAGCCGATAATTATTTTAAGAAAATTAATCAATAATTGCTGTTAGAATATTTACTTGCACAATCGCTTTTGCATGCTATAAATGCGAGCATACCTTATGAACGAATGATTATTTTTCAACTTCATAACGGTGCATTTACATAACTTATTTTTTGAAAGTGAAACTTTTATTACATAGCCTCAAATTTTTTCGTGCATCTATCACATGTAAACTGTAAACTGAAAGCCGCTCGGCAGAGCAGCCAAGGCCAATATGGCGGCGCCCATAACCGTGTAGCATTTATATTCTCACTCATTCGTGCAAGTGCATTACAATTACATTTATAGAAACTGAAAGCGAAGATGAAATGATTGATAGAATAACTGAAGTTCAAAATGATTCAATGATTTAAATAAATATTGTTCTCAGTTTTTAGCTTGAGTCTATCATCTGAATGACTGTATATATTATGTATTCCGTACTCTCATACGCAGATTGAAATTTAAATTTATAGTTGGATATTTTGTCTACTAGTGATTTCCCGTTATCATTCCCATTTTCCNTAAAAAACCGAGTTGGAGACACATTTCCAAATGTAGAAATTGCATTGAGAATCATTTTAAACATGATGGTAACTAACTGTAGTGGCGAACGCTCCTTCTTTAAACGGAAAAGAATAAAAAATAAGTTAAGACGAACAATGCTTCAAGATTGGTCAGTCCATAGAATGGGATATGCTCAAAGACAAAGAGTTTGAACAACTGGTTGACGATTTTGCATATCTGAGAACTAGAAGGGTGCCTTTTCAAAAAACACAATTTGCACCAACCTGAGAATGATAGAGTTACTTTCCCGAGTCATATTACAATTATCTATTCATTTACAATGAATATAAAGAAATAAGTAATTGTTGATAAACCAAAATAATTCTCTGTTAAAGCTGTAGGGGCCCCGGTAAGGTTTATGTGCCCTGGGCCTCCAATAGGTTAAAGACGGCCCTGCCTCTGCTGAAAAAATTATTTGGAGCCTCAGCTTCCAAAAGGTACTTAAAGAAAATATTCATAACCTTAATGCTATTAATCATTTATGATCATGAGATAGTGCCCAAATAGCTCATGATTACGTCAACTTAGAATCAGTTACAGTATTCTTGTCAGTTCTTATATTTTCAATAAAGGTATTTAGACTCAAGCCTAACTTCGCCTAAACTATGTGAGTATTATTAATAGAAATTTTGGTTAACTAATTTGGGCCACAACAAATCCGTATACTTATATATTTTTAATTTTCTCCAAATGATAAAAAATGCACAATACTTCATTAAGACAAATGTAGCAGATAAACTCAAACACTAATAAACCAGACGACCTTGGATATCATTGACCATAATTCCACGTAACACTTCAAAATATTTTTAAAGATCGGTTTACTATAAAAAAAACAAAGCAAAAAATAAAGATCTTAATAATAAATAAGAAACAGTTGCTATATACTTACACGTGTGAAAATTTGTTTATCTTTGAGTGATAAAAACAAATTTTTTGTTCGGTGCATTTTATAAGACACGATTCGATTTCTTGGACAATTTTTCCGTCTATAAAAATATAGAACAATTTTTTAAGAAGTAGTAAAAATGAAAGGTAGCTGAAAAGGGCCTTCCGCCCTACTTTCCGGCGTAGTCCGGAGAGACTGCACACTAGCATGGGTGCCTGGTGGGAATGAAACACCTAATTGTTTTCTTTTTTTCTTTCTAACCTAACCTAACCTAACCTAATTGTTTTCTTTTTTTTTGATAAACCGGGCTACTATTTTCGATATTTACTCTGTGCGGATCTTTGCATAATTTTTTCGTCTCGCTTATCTCCTCCTTTCTCACCTAACAAATTTTGCTAACTCACTTTCAATCCCGAAACATTCAGTGACGAAAGGATTTACCTTTTGGAATACGGGTTGTTAGAAATGGTGTAGTAACATGGACACCGAGTAGTGATAGATGTGATGGGATAATAAGTGTAAAATATCCTAATGTTAACAATCCACAAATGTGTCGATGTAGATGCAAGCAGAATAAGTAAGAGAGTATTGTTTTACTTAAACTAATAGAGATAATGTTGATGTTTATATTTATGATGAAAAATTGAATAATTTTATGGACATGAAATAACACAAACTTTAATAATTTTTTAAAATCACTACACATTATCTCAAGTTAATGAGGAGGTTCGGTTTCCAACGAGGGTGTGTCAGCAGCAACAAATTTTTCCTCATTAACTTGAGATAAGAAATGTGTAATGGTATAAATTAAATTAATTTCGCATTGATGCTTAAAATTTATTAAATATTAACAGCTATTAAAAGTAAAATTTCTTAAAATGTCTCATAAATCATAATGAAATAATAAGTGGTCTGTATTCTGTCGAAACTGCCAGAAGCGGATCGCGTTTTCGATTTTTTTGGATCTCATCAGCGCGTCACAGGCAGCCCGACAGAACACAGACCAACTTTTACCTGCTGTCTTAACAGCGCGTTTTTGAAAATACCACAACTGGCGCGGTAAACGCTATCTCTAGTACGATGCTACAGTTTAGGATTACGTATGCTCCAACAAGGTCTATTTAAATATATGGATATCTACTTGCTGAAACGAATCCCGGCATACCTAACCTCAACGTGATAGGCACGTTACCATAATCGAATCTGGCAGTTTCGACAGAAAACAGACCACTTCGAATTATTTTATTCGATTATTTCAGCAAGTAGATATCCATGTATTTAAATGGAACTTGTTGGAGCATACGTAATCCTAAAATGCAGCATCGTACTACAGGTGGCGTTAACCGCGCGATTTGTGGTATTTTCATAAATCATAATGTTTACTTAACATTTCACACATGATAAATTAGGAGATGTTTCGTCTCTTTAATTTCAGATTCTTTGTACAATTCAATCGTTAGTCTTTAGGATATTAATTTTTTTTTGTATTTTTAGTAGGTAAGTATAGTGTTAAAGAATTTTTTTCTAAAATCAATATGGGCGAGATAACATGTTGTGAATATTAAATAGGAATTAGGATAATGACAATCAGTAAATCTCAGAAGATGTTTGTTACTGCTTTACTAATTTTCATTAACTACATCACTCAGTTGGAGGGCATTCAGTAATTACGTAAGAGTTTAGAGGGGGAGGGGGTTAAAAGAATTTATAGTGTACAATGTAATTTAAATCCTACTTGAACGTCCCTTTATTTAATTTTCTATAATTAAAAGCAAAACAATAGAGCTCTCAATAATAATATAATCGCTTATCATTGACAGGTAAAAACAATTTTTTTGTCCGATAGCTGATATGAGACCCGATTTGATTTGTTGGACAATTTTTCATCATAGATAAATAAAGACGTTCAAAAAAATAAAGGAACATTACACTTTTCAAACAGCAAATAAGAAGAAGTAAAAATGTGTAAACTGCTTTTCACGATTGCTTTTCTTGCATTAATAACATATTGTTATTCACAAAACGCGTCACCAGGCCAGTGTGCAGAAAGAACACAAGTAAAAGCGGCAGAAAATTACGATTTTGCAGGGGTAAGTTTATTTTATTTACAAGGTTTTACTCGCAATTTCGTTCACATTTATATAGTTTAACAATACACAATGTAAAAGTAACCAATAAACCATTGTAAATAAAAAAATTACCCAGATTTGCAATCATGTTTTCTTGTAACTATTTGGGGTTGCAAAAATGTCTGGGGGTTGGATATTTTATATCTTGCTAGGGTTATTTAATTTGTAGAGTTATAAATCCTCGCTTACAACCATGCATCCCTCAACCGACCTTTTTATGGTGTCTCAAAAGACTGATATTTTAGAGACACTTCGAATTTTTGTGGGCTTCAATTTTAAGTGACTTATCACTAATAACTGTTATATTGGGTCGACGATTCTGCAACGTGTCAATTAAGGGTTATCTGTGGTTGGTTAAGTTAATTCAAAAAATTAATTCACCGATATTTTATTTTGCATTGTTCTTAAAATAATAAAAAGAATATTTAACCTGAAGAAATTCTACTCATTTCTTCAAATCAGATCTAATAGCACTTCCAAACATCTACTAAACATTAAAATTCAGTTAAAGCTCCCTTGTTGGGAATTTAATGATGAAATTAAGACAAAAAAAGCATTCTTGATATATTCCATGCTTAGTGAAAAATACAACTGGACCAGTAATGTTTAATGTTTTGGTAAAGTGTAAAAAAAAAACGGTAAACCTAAACCTAGATCACTTCTGACAATTCCCTCTACATGTTTGTAAAAGTCACATGGGAATCATTAGGAAGGGTCGTTTTTGTCACAATAGCACATAGATCCATAAATTTGTAGATGAAATAAATATTTATTAAATTCATTGCATTTTTTCTCAATAGTATGTAGCTACTGGCAGGCTATGGTACACTATTTTTACGTATAACACTCCGGGCGACTGCCTGTATCTGAATAATACCATGACATCAAACGTAACCGCGAGCTTCTTTTGGTCTCGAAAAAATTTAACTTCCGGAGCAAGGGTTACTAGCTCTGGTCAAACAATTTGGACACCGCCTAATGGGATTATAAGTATTAGAAGATCCAACGAAGCTAATTCGTTGGAATATACAATGCTTGGAATTAATCGTGATGAGTACAGCGTTGGTTACAGATGCGTCGATGTAAATAGCACAAGCAGATCAGGTACGAAACTATTTTTTTACTCAAAACTAATTGAGGCAATGTTAAAGTTTATATTTAATATGAAAAATTGAATGATTTTATGGGCAGGAAATAACACGAAGTTTACTTTATTTACACTTTACAGTTATTAAATTTGGAGGTGTTCCCTCTTTTTAATTTTAGAGCTTAAGAAAGTCTTACCAATTTATGAATTCAAGAAGTCAAAAATGTGTCATCATGATAACGTCGTCAGTCCTAAGACTGGACACGAATCTCCACTCTTTCCTATCCTGAGCTAATCTTCACATTTCCCTAAAACTAGAACAACCTACATCCTTAACTATTTGCGAACAGTAATCTAATCTAGATCCAAATCTACCCCTCCTAACTCCCTTTTCTGTCTCTAATATGTCTCTGATTAGATCATCATGCTTCAGAAGGTGCCCTACTAACCTATCTCACCTATTTCTTATTGACATCCATAGAGTCCGCTGTTCTCCTATTCTTTCTAATACCTCATCATTTCTAACCTTCTCTATCCACGGTGTCCTCACCATTCGCCTGTAACACCACATTTCGAACGCTTCTAACCTTTTATTTCCCGCCGCGCACACTATTCTTGTTTCGCGCCCGTACAGCGCCGTGCTCCAAACATACACCTTTAACAACCTTTCTCGAATTTCTAAATTAACCTTTCGAGATGTGACTTCTTTTTATTGAAGGCGACTCGGCCCTGTGCTATCGTCTGCTTTATATCCCTACTACTCCTTCCGTCCTGACTAATCTGACTTTCTAGATAATCGGTCACTTCTAAATTTTCGTCTCCTTAAGAAATGTGTACCGTTTCGTTAATTTTCATTTCCATGTCTACTTCTTAGATTCTGTAAAAGTCTATTGTTAGTCTTTAGCATATTCAGCTTTCCTTTTTTTGTATTTTTTGTATCTAAGTATAGAATTGTTTTTCTAGAAACACTATTTGCTAGAAGCAGGAGTAGGAGTTTCACACCACAACAAGCAGCTGCTGTTAGTCAAATTCTGAGTGATAATGGTCTTTCTGACTTAGCCGTAACGTATGCTGTACAGGACCCAGATGTTTGTTCAGTATAAGATAACAGCAAAATTTGTGAAATTTATACGAAATTAATCAATAATAAATTTGTTAGCAAGTGAATAGCGTTTTTAATCATTTTCTCCTTTTTTACGATTTCATGACTTAACTGCTCAATCGATCATCGTGAAATTTTGTAGGCACACTGTCAGGGGTACAGAAAAGGACATAGGGTACCTTTTATTTAGAAGAAAAAAGTGTTCTTTTTGAAGGATCGAAAAATTAGTTTTATGTGGTCATTGACGATCTTTGACAACTATTTAGGGCATCAACGCTAGCACAAAATACAGTGAAATTATTGCTGTAGATATACAATGTATATTGTACAGGGTTATTCACGTTATAAGAAACGAAAGATTACGGAGATGTTCCTAGGTTTTTAGAAAGTTTTATTGTGGGGGTGGATAGGGGTCCATTAATGGTATATTTTGAAATTATTTTTATAATATACAGAGTTTCCAAAAATCACAAAACGTATCAAAGCTGTATTTTGTTAAATATATTTCTGCATTTTTGGATTCTGTGATCAAAGTAAGAGCGAGTAAATCCGTAAGGATTTTGAAGTATTTTGAGTTTTGTAAAAATGTAGTAACAATTTTAATTATTAAATTCTCAACCTAAATTGCGTTTTTTGAAATCAAAAATTTAAACTGGAGTTTTGTATCGCAAATGTAACAAATTGTCTAACTTATACAGAGTGTCTAAAAATTATGATTAAATAAATAAAAGTTTTGAACGTAAATATTGTTTGGTTCAAATAGAACACCTTGTGTTTTATGTCAACGGCATTTATAGAATTTAATTTTCTATCGAATAGTTCCGACAGCTAATAACTATTCACCACACTTTTAGAACACATAGTCACATTAGCAAGTTTAATATTTAGCTAAGGCGCTTTAATAGGTCAGATTTACTTAAATAAAAAAATAATAGCTGATTTGATAGTGGTGGAAATAATACCGCCTTATAGCAAGCGAAATGACGACGGCTTGATTCTAAACATAAACGTATTCTCTTTTCTATGTTTTCCGAAACACAAGCCAACGTTTGTGGATCTTGGATCAATGATTCTTAATGTTTCTGCTGCTTAATATTATCTAATGTAGTTGGAGATCAAGATGGATCTATATCAAATGATAACAATACGGCTTATGACATTTAAGGATGTTTGGGAGGTATGTCAAAATGATACGAGACAAATAAAAGTTTGGAAGAACGTTCCTCATTCAATTCTAAAATTCCTGTAAAAATTAAAAATCGATTCACTAAACCGTTAAAAAGTTATTGAAATTTAAAAAAATGTAATTTTACACGTCATTTTATGAAGATTCGTTAACCGAACAGATTAAATTTATTTTTATTAACAGAAAAAAGCTAACAAAAATTTCAAACTTTTATAATAAGTAACTTGAACTCTGGAGAATCACCTTAGGGTAAGGTTATTCAAATTCACTAAATGGTTATCGAGGAAAAAATAAAAAATTAGCTAAAGAATCTCGTTTTTACTTGATAATATAATGATAATATTTATAATTGTCTGAAATAAATGCAATTTTAAAGTTTTAATTATTATTTAAACATTTTAAAAAGTTTTACGCTCATTATTAATAAAGATTGAAACTAAATATTTTTTTGTTTCGAAGTTGAGATGAAGGCGTATTCACTGCCAAAAGTCAGTTAAAAATTTTCCATATTATTCGTTATTTCTTATTTTATTCAAAGTTTTTGGTCAAATTTCAAATTTTCTCTAAAACCGTATACTTTTTTTTAGTATAGATAGTATTTATTTACCTCATGATATGCTGCAAAACCTAATTAATCACGAATTTTATGTACTCCTGTCTCCGATTGTACCTCCCAAATATCCTTAAATGCGGTGATGCATCATTATACATGAACCACACAGTATCTCTCTGCGTTACCAGATGAAGAGGACCCTAATTGGTCCTAGAACGGCCTGAGGTAAAGGGGCTCTAGTCGGTAAGTCCGAAGACTTCTTCTTCGGCAATCCGACACTACCCAGTCGTACGGACAGCTGGGTGTCTTTTGAAGATTTCCCCTCTTCCACGAAAACAAAAAAAAAATCTCTCCGTTCTTAGTAATCGAAATTATTATCAAAAAACGAAAACGTATTTTGGAAAAAAAGGCTTTCATAGAAGTTCAATAAACATCCTGTATATGTACGAGGGTGGATTGATAAGTTTCCGGCCTAACCAAGAGATGACGCCACTAGGCCTACCTTGAGGTGACATTCTATAGTACCATCCTTGGATAGCTTGTAGCTATAGTTTCAGCCCGATCTCCTTGCTAGTGTAGGTTTGACAGCACGCTGAACAAGACGCCTCTGTGGTTTTCGTAAAAATGGAAAAGCAGGAAAATCGTGCTGTCATCAAATACTTTTATTTGAAGGGGTTAACGCCGAAGGAAATTAAAAAAGAGATGGACTCAACACTGGGGACATCCTCCCCGTCATATTCAACCGTTAAGCAGTGGGTTTCCGAGTTTAAAAAGGGTCGTGTGAGCACCTCTGATGGGCCTCGCTCAGGACGCCCCGTTGAGGTCACAACTCCAGATATGATCGAAAAAATTCATCAAATAGTGCTGGGAGACCGCAGATTGAAAGTGCGTGAGATAGCTGAGACCTGTAAGATGTCATATGAACGTGTGCAACATATTTTGCACCAACATTTGCATATGGAAAAGCTCTGTGCAAGATGGGTGCCGCGTTTGCTAACAGTCGACCAAAAATTGATTCGAAAAAACATTTCTACCGCAAATTTGTCATTGTATAAGCGTAATCCAAGCGAATTTTTGCGTCGATTCGTAACCGTTGACGAAACGTGGGTCCACCACTACACTCCTGAAACCAAAGAACAGTCTAAACAGTGGATTGGACCAGGGGAACCAACTCCAAAGAAGGCAAAAACAATTTTTTCGGCGAACAAGGTTATGGCTACTGTTTTTTGGGATGCAAGAGGTATTATATACATTGATTACCTTGCAAAGGGTAATACTATCACTGGTCAATACTACGCAGACTTATTGCAACGTTTGAGCCACGAGGTGAAAATTAAACGACCTCATCTGGCGAAGAAAAAAATCTTGTTTCATCACGATAACGCACCAGCGCACACGTCAATCGTTGCGACGGCTAAAATCAACGATCTAAAGTTTGAATTGATGCCGCACCCTCCTTACTCTCCAGACCTAGCCCCGAGTGACTATTTTCTGTTCCCTAATCTCAAAAAATGGCTTGGCGGTAAGAGATTTGCGGACAATGAAGAAGTAATCGAAGCTGTAAATGGTTATTTTGAGGAGCTTGACGAATCAGTCTATAGAGATGGCATTAATAGACTGGAACACCGCTATGAGAAATGTATCAGCCTTGGAGGAGATTATGTTGAGAAATAAAAAAAAAAAATTTTTAAAAACCTTGTTTTTCTTGGTCAGGCCGGAAACTTATCAATCCACCCTCGTATAAGAGACCTCTATAATATTATTTATGATTCTCTTATTTCATGTAGCAAATGAACAAATAACTTATCTGCCTATTGTTTTTGAGAGATCTGTTTTGCTTTTTGACTGTTAAGCGTTCTGTGAAAAAGTCCTGGTTTACTTGTCTACGATCAGTTCAAAAACAGTAAATTAATTTCCAAAATTGGGCGACCCTGAATAATCTTAAACATGATGGTATCTCTTGAGTAATTCCACGCGCAAGCACTTCCATATATCAAATATTTTTAACAACTGATTACAAAAATTCTGCTCTCAATAATAAGAAACGATCACTACTACGTCAATTCTATTTTCTATTCGATGCTTCATATCATATATTTTATCCTGTGGTGTTTATGAGACACGATTTGATTTTTTGTGATATTTTTCATCTTACTTATAAATACGTTTTGATAAATATAAGAGCATTATTCTTTCCAAGCAACAACTAAGAGGTAGTAAAAATGTTTAAACAACTTTTCACTATTTCTTTTCTTGCATTAATAACATATTGTTATTCACAATCCTCGTCATTAGGTCAGTGCTCAGACAGAACAAACATAAAACCGGTAGAAAATTTCGATTTTGTGAGGGTAAGTTGATAGATATTATTTACTAACTGCTACTCGCGATTATCGTTGGCATTGATGTAATTCAATATTAAACAATTTAAAAGTAACATATAAACGATTGTAAAGAAAAAAATTACCTAGATTTACAGTCTCGGTTTTTTGCAAAAATGTCCTTGATGTAAGTGTTTTATAACTTGATAGGATTATTCAATTTTTAGAATTATAAGTATGAGACAGCATTTCTAAATAAGTAGTTGCAATAGTTCTCACATAAATAAAAATATCTGCTCCAATTGAAGGATTTGACGAATTTTTTTCTTCAAATCAGATTTGGATTTTCGTTGAACACTGCTAAATGATTAAATTCAGTCAGAACTTCTTTGTTGGGAATTTAATGATAAAATCAAAACAAAAAGAAAGCAGTCAAAACCATTGGTTTTAAAAGTGGAACTTTGTATGGTACCTACACAGGGGGAATACCCTAGCGCCGGACCGCACATAGTACCGGACAAAACAGGTCAAAAGTTAGCGCTCATTTGTGTATACAAAGGCGTCACACTTGAGGAACCCCTAGACACGGTCATCAGTCTAGTCCGATACGACACGTTAGTTATTTTGCGCAGGAATTTATTGCGTCGAGTAATATTCAGAACGTCATATTATTATATTTAGAGTGAACGAATTTATTTGGATGTTTAATGTATTAATGTAAAAATATTGAGTGACCTTAAATTTTTGTAAACCTACAAGTGTCCGGTCCTGTCCTGTGTTAAGGATTCGAATTTATATCTACTTGTCCGATACTTTTAATGAAACCCAAAACTAACCCATTGCTTGATGCTTCATTTCATTTTGAGTTGTTGAAAAATATATAATATTTATCTTTGTTGATTTGTTTTAATGTCTAATATGACTGTTTAAAAGAAAATGTTAAGTATTTAAATAAAACATACAGGGTTTGTCCGGAAAGTAATAGGACTGATTTATTTCCGCCTCGATTGTACTTCGGAGCGTGCGCGCACCGACTGGATTCGGTAGAGGGCATTCCTAGCTAACGAACGAGCGGCTGGTGAGTTGTCTCCGAGCATCTGGAGAGTCAGAACAGGCTTTTTCGCGCGACGTGTTTCTGTGAGTGGTGCAAGCCGAAAATTTAAACATGTGTGAAAGTGACCCCCAATTTTTGAATAACGTAATCACAGGTGACGAGTCATGGATCTTTGAGTATGATCCCGAGACAAAGAGGCAATCTTCCGAGTGGCACACGCCGGCGTCTCCTCGCCCAAAAAAGGGAAGAATGAGCAAATCCAAAGTGAAAACGATGCTCATTGTCTTTTTTGACATGAAAGGCATCGTCCACCATGAATTTGTTCCTCCTGGACAAACCGTCAACGCCAAGTTTTACGTGGAAGTGCTCAAGAGACTCAAACGTAGGGTCAATCGGGTCCGACAAGACATCGCAGCCGACTGGAAGTTGCACCACGACAACGCCCCGGCTCACACCGCCTTTATTGTGGACAGCTACCTGACCAAGGCCGGTATCCCAACGCTTCCGCAGCCGCCCTACAGCCCAGATGTGCCCCCCCGAATTTTTTTTTGTATAAAAGGCAAGCATTTTGAGACGACAGAATGGATCCAAGCAGCAAGCACCGCGGCTCTTAAGGCTATTCTAGAGAATGCCTTCCGTGACGCCTTCAATGCTTGGAAATCGCGCTGGCAGCGCTGCATCGACGCAGAAGGAGCCTATTTTGAAAGTTTATAAAATATTGTAAGGATTGGCTCAATAAATTTTTTTAAATCGACTCAGTCCTATTACTTTCCGGACAAACCCTGTGATTATTCAGTTTATTGTAAGTATATTAAATACCTTAAGTGTCCAGTATCGGCGGGGGGACTCCCCCTTATTAATTTCACTATTATTAATCGGCTAAAATGTAGGTATAGTGACATCCTTGAGTTGAAAGTATAAAATAAGACTAACATCTAAATAAGCAAAATCCATCTCCAATGACTGGAACCGAAATTTATTGTCCATTCGTGTGTGTTATCTAATGATGTTTAAGGATTGGCACTAGTTACAATGATTGATAAACTGATAGACTAATGTCCGAGGACTATTCTCGATGTCTTCTCTTTGTGCGTATCTTTTGTATAATTTTCCGCTTGTTTCACTTATTTTCGCTTCTCGCTTAATTAACGGGTTTTATTAGCAGGACAAGTTCACTCTCAATCTTAAAATTTTCATAATGTCCCATAAAAAGTTTCACTTCAAAACAAAACATTTCTGAAAAAAAGGGTTGGACCCCAAGTCTAGGTCACTCCTGATAATCCTCTCAATATGTTTGTAAAAGTCACATCGAAATTGATTACTAAGGGTCATTTGTGCCTCAATGACATTTAATGTATTGACGAAAAAATATTTATTCAACTCATTGTAACTTTTTCTCAATAGTATGTAGCTGATGGCCAAAGAAAGTACACTGTGCGTATACACAACGCTGTGGGCGACTGCCAGTATATGAATTTAAACTTAACCTCAAACGTAACTGCGAACCTCCATTGGGAACGAAAGTCTTTACCTTCTGGAACAAGGGTTGTTAGAGATGGTGTAGTAACATGGGCACCGGCCAGTGGTACACGTGATGGTATAATAAGTGTAAAATATCCTAATGTTAACAATTCACTGGTATATATAATTCTTGGAATTGATTATGATGAGTACAGCATTGGTTACAGATGTGTCGATTTAGATGCAAGCAGAATAGGTAAGAACGTGTTTTATACTTAAAACTAATAGATGCAATCTTAAAGTTTATATTTGTGATGAAAAATTGAATTTAAAGTTTAAAGTTTACTCAATACTTCACATTGATAAATTTCGAGATGTTTCGTCTTTTTAATTTTAGAGCCTGAGAAAGTCTTAATACAATTACGAAACGTTGCTGAATTAATAATGTGTACCGTTGAGTAAATTTTCATTTAAAATTCTTTGTAAAAATTATAGAATATTTAACTGTCCTTTTTTTTGTATTTTTGGTAGGTAGGTAACTATAGAATTGTTTTTTTCTAGAATCAATATGGGTGAGAAGTAATAATATGAATTACACATCACAACAAGCAGCTGTTTTTAACCAAATTCTTAGTGACAACGGTCTCTCTGATTTAGCACTAACTGATGTTGTGCAGGACCCAGCTCGTTGTTCACCATAAAATAAATTTAATTGTAAACAAAATGTAATGAAATTGTTATATTGTTTTACATTAAATAAAAATTTTAATTTAACTCTGGAGTGGTGCGGATTTTACATTATAAGTTATTCTATTAATTCGAATTTCCAAGAATTATTACCACCATAAAGGAGGGGTATCGATAAGCTAAGAAAATTGACCCTAATACGCAAAAACTTTTACTAGATGTTTTTTATATTTTTCGGAAAATACAGGACACTAACTTAATACTTTAATTACTTAAAAGTAAAAATTACCAATTTTTCTTAACAAGAACAATTGACAAACTACAGTCCAAATTACTTTTTTTAATCGTACCCTTTTTTACTACATCGAGTTGTTTTTAAACATAAGCGCATTCTTTTAGCATTTTGATTTTTGTTTTTTTAGATTTGCTGTTATCTAAAGAACAATATATTAAAAAATCATCATGCTAAAAAAATGCGCTCATAGTAAAATAAAAGGTTCTTTTGCATGCTAAATCTACAAATGTAAGTTTGATTCAAAATATCATACAATGTTACTTATTTGAGTGGTGTTTAAAAAACAATAAAAGATATTTTTGGAAAAGGAATAGTATTTTTATTATGTATGAGGCTCATGCTATTCAAACAACAAAATTTTTTAAGTTTTCTAAAGGGGTCACTTTTCATAGCTTATCGATATCCCTCCTTTCAACTACGGAATTAGGAGGTTGAGATCAAAAGGTCACAGTATGAAGGGTTAACATAAACAAACTACTCATACTGTTTGATCTGACATTGTAGGGGATCCAATTGTTGTACTTACAAGTAATATATATATTTGCGACATGGGTATGCTAGCTTCACAAAAATGAATATTGGAATATTAGTAAAAACGCGGCAGTTACACGTTTTATCTCAATTCAGATAATTATTACTAAGTATTAGTAAGTACCTACATAGTGTGACTATAGCAGTTCTGCCAAACCCAATATTTTATTAATTAGGTGTCTTTTCTGTATGTTATTACTATTTCTCCTCGGTCTCCGCTTCGAAGTTTATCTATTGTGTTATCTGATATATCTATAACGTTTATTAGTGATTTCAGATGGCGCCAGAGATAATAATTAAGGTGGTTTAAGTCCGAGGATCGGGCAAGTCATAAGAGAGAAAGGGAGAGAGAGAGCAACATCAACCAATTCTGGTTAAAAATTTAAGGCTTATTACATTAAACTGTGGTGGAGCGTCATCGTACATAAAGCACATTGTCTGTTCTTAGTGATCGGAATTGTTTTCAAAAAACGAAAAGGTATTTTGTACATTTTTTGTCTCCGATAATCTCAGTGTAGAATGGTTTTGTCGAAAAGTATTTATCGCCCTGTATTTTGGGAAAGAAGTTCAATAAACATCCTGTATATGTATAAGTGACTTCTACAATATCTTTTGTGATTCTCATGTTTAATGTATCAAATGAACAGGTTAAGCGTTCTGTGGAAAAGTCCTTGTTTGCTTGTCTACAGTCACTTCAAAAAAGTAAATTAATTTCAAAAATTTGGCGATCCTGAATAATCTTAAAAATGTCGGTATCTCTGTCGACGGGCAAACACTACAATATCTCACATATTTTTAACAACTGATTACAAAAATTCTGCTCTCAATAATAAAAAACAATCACTACTACGTCAATTCTTTTTATATTGATTGAGATTAGAGATAACGCCACATTTTTACAGACAGAATTAGGTTAATTAGTTTTTTATGTAATCAGGCCAGTGTGTAGACAAAACAGGAATAATATGCTATTGTATTTTATACAGTCGAACCTGGATAAGCGAAAACTGGATGAATGAGAAAACTTTATAAGCGACAAAAATAGTCACATCCCGTCATTTTTAGCCTCGAAAACCTTTATGAGTGACAGTGTAAGTACCTATTTTAGAGAGAGTCATTTTTCACTTCCAGATCTTCGTAAGTGATAGTTTCTTACTCTAGACTTCTGTAAGTGAGACTATTTACAATTACTAGACATCTGCAGCACACTCGTGCGCTTGTTCGTACCTGCTCATGGTACTTAACCTCAACATTTGGTTTCAGTTGGTAACAATCTTTGAAGAAAGTACGTTTGACGTTGTTCCCTCACAATGTTGAAGCGAAAAATTAAATTAATTTCATTTTTGATAAAATTTATGAAATTGAAAAACATATTCAAAATTGTAAAAAGGATACTCAGAAAAAATTAACTGATTTCTTTAAATAAATAATACAAGTACCTATTTACAGCCAAATGTGTATATAATTATGTATTACCTATTTCTTAACGCTCTAGCACCATGTTTATGTTTGATTTTTATTAATCTCTATAAATGAGAAAACTCTATGAGTGAGAATAATATCCGGGTCCCTTGAGTTCTCGCTTATCCAGGTTTGACTGTATATCCTAATCGTTAAGCCAAAAATCGTGAAAATTGTTTTTATTAGCGAAGAATTTATAATATTTCCGGAAGCGATAGTGTACAAGCTGTACTTACCCAGTACGCTAGTACATAGATATATAGTCAACTCCGGTCTTATTATTGTATCTCTATCACGTTAGCAGATCAGATGCTCAACCCCTACATTAAAACATATGTATAATTTGTAGCTAATTTATAGTAAATTTGAAGTGAAAGAATTAATTTTGTAAAGCTTTCCGATGTTCCGATTCCGAGAAATCGGATAATTCATTAGTTTGACATCATGCTAGCAGGTTACATATTTGTTTAAGCTATCTCGGGCTCAAAAAACCAACTGGGACCATATTTTATAGTGAATTTGTAGTAAAAGAATTAATTTTGTCAAGTCTATAGATATCGGTAAATCGGAAAATTCGCTAGCTTCATATCATATTGAGAGATAAAAAACAATTGTGTGGTTTTATAAAACCACGGTGCAAGTGAAACTTTTCGGATTGTAGGCATTTAATTGTAAATTTTCGGAAAATTATTCGATTTAAGGTATTAAAATTACAATCGCGTTCTTAATCATTCAGATAATAGACGCATTATAGACGATGTTGAAAACTGTGAACAATATTTATTTAAATCATAGAATCATTTTGAACTTCAGGTATTCTATGAATAATTTCATCTTCGCTTTGAGTTTCACAGTCTATAAAAGTAATTGTCATGCACTTGCACGAATGAGTGAGAATATAAATGCTACACGCTTACCACCATATTGGCCTTGGCTGCTTTGCCGAGCGCCTTTCAGTTTTACCCCTACTCCGCCACTGGCTGTAATGCGACATGCAATAGATGGACGAAAAAAATTTGAGGTGATGTAATAAAAGATTCACTTTCAAAATAAATATTTTATCTTGTGCTTTTTATGAGACACGATTTGATTTTTTGTGATATTTTTCATCTTACTTATAAATACGTCTTGAAAAATATAGGACCATTCTTCTTTCCAAGCAACACCTAAGAAGCAGTAAAAATGTTTAAACAACTTTTCACCATTTCTTTTCTTGCATTAATAACATATTGTTATTCACAATCTCCGTCATTAGGTCAGTGCTCAGACAGAAGAAACATAAAACCGGTAGAAAATTTCGATTTTGTGAGGGTAAATTGATATTATTTACTAGCTGCTAAGCGCGATATCGTTGATATTGACATTGATATAATTCTAATTAATCGACTAAAATGTAGGTACAGTGACATTCTTGAGTTGAAAATATGAAATAAGACTAACATCTAAATAAGCAAAATACATTGCCAATGACTAGAACAGAAATTTATTGTTCATTCATATGTTGTCTAATAATGTTTAAGGACTGGAACTAGTCACAATGATTAGTAAACTGATAGACTAATGTTCGACGACTATTCTCGATGTTTTCTCTTTGTGCACATCTTTTGTATAATTTTTCGTCTGTTCACTCTCAATTCCAAAATTTTCATAGTGTCCCATGAAAAGTTTCACTTCAAAGAAAAAAATTTCTGAAAAAAACGGTTGGACCCCACTCCTGACAATCCCCTCAATATGTTTGTAAAAGTCACATCGAAATTGATTATTAATATTCATTTGTGCCTCAATTCATTGTAACTTTTTCTCAACAGTATGCAGCTAACGGTCAAAGAAGGTACACTGTGCGTATACACAACGCTCCGGGTGACTGCCAGTTTATGAATTTAAACTTGACGTCGAACGTAGCCGCGAACCTCCATTGGGAAGTAAAATTTTTACCTTCTGGAACAAAGGTTGTTAGGGATGGTGTAGTAACATGGACACCGACTAGTGGTTCACGTGATGGGATTATAAGTGTAAAATACCCCAACGTTAACAGTCCATTTGTATATTCAGTTCTTGGAGTCGATTATGATGAGTACAGCGTTGGTTACCGATGCATCGATCTAGATGCAAGCAGAATAGGTAAGAGAGTATTTTATACTTAAAACTAATAGACTAAAGTTTATATTAATGATGAAAAATTGAAGTTTAAAGTTTACTCAATACTTGACACTTGATAAATTTGGAAATGTTTGCGAAAGTCTTAATACAATTACGAAACGTCGCTGAATTAATAATGTTTACCGTTGAGTAAATTTTCATTTAAGATTCTTCGTAAATTAACGGATATTTAACTGTCTTTTTCTTTGTATTTTTGGTATTTAACTATAGAATTAATTGTTTTTTCTAGAATCTATATGGGTGAGAAGCAATAATACAAATTACACATCACAACAAGCAGCTGCGGTTAACCAAATTCTTAGTGATAACGGTCTCTCTGATTTAGTACTAACCGATGCTATACAGGATTCAGCTCGCTGTTCATCATAAAATAAATTTAAATGTAATAGTTAAAGATGTTTTCGTTTGATAAAACAAATTGTAGTGAAATTGTTTTGCATTAAACTAAACTCTTACTAAAACTTTTATCTAACTCTGGAGTGGTGCGGATTTTATATTATAAATTATCCTATTAATTCAAATTTCTAAAAATTATTAGAGTAAGGTCGATGAATGTGGAATACCATTTTTTTAAAAATTATAAACAAGTTTATTAAACATACTTCTGTAATTTTTTTATTCACGGTAATATCTCTAGTCAGCTAGCTATTTGTTTTTCCCGTCTAGGTGACGTAACACATAATCTATACCTTTTAACGGACGAAATAATCAAAGTCAACAAATTCTCAGATTGTTAAAATGGGTAGGTAAAGTGGAATAGTCCTATAAGGTAATGTGGAATAGGATATTACCATGGAATTAACACGCCACCATTTTCAGTAAATAATTTCACCTACAACGAGAAAAATATTTTATTTGACTAACATTTTACATGATACAAAAAAAGAAGACTAAAAAAACAGGTAATCATAATATCTACTGGCAGAAATCACAAATATAAACTTCTCTTTCATTTCCTGCACACACTTCATGGCACCAGCCACTACACATTATGCATTGTATCCAAACCTCTCCTCTTGTATCTTCAGAAAATTTACCTGCACAAAAAATACATTCGGCATCTTCATTGGGAGTTAGGGAGGGGAAAATGGAATTGGTTATGTGGAATAGTCCACAATAGCAAACCTATTGATATTCCACAATACCCACTTATAGACACGAAACTATGACCATATAGAAACTTGGATAAAGTTAATTTTATAGGGCTGTAATATCATACCTCACACTCTAAAACATTTACAGTAACTACACGCAGCACCACTATTTTTAAATCGGTCCAAACAAATGCGTAACAGTTAACAGTATCACTACCCTACAAAATGTCAGCCACCTGCGAAATCATTTCTGATTAAACACAACGACACCTATAACAAACATAGGATTACATAACACATCACTTCGAAATACATTAAGAGTAGTACCTAATACATCAACTAGAATGTAGATGACTCTTCTAGTTTTAGTGCAAACATGGTATTCCACATTACCTGACCTATTCCACATTCACCGACTTTACTCTACCACTATTAATTTCAACTGCGTAACTCAATGTTATACGTCTATTAGAGGAAACAGCAGAAAAACTGGGGAGGTTACGATCAAAAGGTCACAGTATGGAGAGACAACATGAACAAAGTACTCATACTGTTTGACCTGAGATTGCAAGGGATCTAAAGGATGTGCTTAATAGTAATATACGTAGAAGCGATGTCTTCGAAACAAAAATTGTGACGGTTATTGATGAGCAAAAGTGGTTTTGATCTTGGTGTTGCAAAAATGCAAGAACAAAACTGTATTTATACTAGCAAGACCAAGATCCAAAGAACACTGTCAAGACTAAAACCAACATCAAATACGAAAAAATATTACTTCCGGTGGATTTATGAGTTAAACTGTTTGAAGCAACCGTAATACATTCTTTTCTTGGAACAAAACATATTTGCTATTAGAAAGTAATTTTTTTTCGATATTTTTTACTTCTTTTAAGTACGTTGTACTATTTTGTTCGCTAAAAGGTCAATTTATGCATTCGAGGAGGAGTAACTACAACCATCTATACTTTTTCTTTAAAAGTGATGACAAGCTCGCATGTATGACAGAAAATTTCAGCATTTAAAACAAATATTGTGTCGGTAAATAGAAAAATTTGTACTTAGAAAAATTATTAAAAAAAAGTCAGTACCAGATTAAATAGAACAATATAAAAAGACCGAAACTATATCAGCAACACGAAGACCAAAACTAAAAGTATTTCAGCAACACCAAGACCAATTTTCTTTAACCGTATTTTCTCTAATAAATAATTGAGTTTAGTAGGTTGAAGTTTGACTATTTTGAATTTTGAATTTTCTAAACTTACTTCAACAATTAACCATCATTAATTTTAAAAAAATGTTAATATTTGACTAATTTTAATTAGCCACATCACTCATTTACATAACTCAAATCTGTAACCCAGAATATACATTTTATTAAGGTGTAAAACTTTTGTTGCTTTTTTTGTAAACCTATTTTTAAAGGCATCGTTGTCACTTGTTTTATGTAAATCACAGTGCATTTCGTGTTAATCTAATAATTTTTGCAAAGTGGAAGTGCTTTAAGTTCAAGGAAACGCTGGTTACCAGGTTTGGGTTTATTGCTTTTTGTCAAATATTAAACAAAATACTGTCTACATTATCACAAAAAACTAAAACTCCACTATGACTTTAACTACCAACATAAAAGAAATAAACAAAATTGAATAACTGCTAACCCTCTATTGTGTATAATAGTAATACCAAGAACTGATAGAAAACACCAATTCAATCACAAACTCGTAAAACAATTCACATGAGAATTTAGTAATTTTTAGTAGTAATTTAGTACTGTAATTAAGATTTTAGTGTTCTACTTATATCAAAATTAGTATTAGTTGTGAGTGAAAGCTAATAGGTGGAGCACCAACGCCAAATTTTCTGATAATTACTGAACGAATTTGTTTCCAAATGTAAGTATGCTAGAACTTTTTGCTTTTTAAGTGCTTCTGGAAGAACTACATATGACTAACATACGCTATTACATCCGATATTTTAAAAAATTACGTTTTCTTCACTCGAGCATCTAGCTGTCATACCTCCAGTGAAAAATGTTTAAACTAAATCAATTAGTTTTGAAAATATTACTACAGTCAAACCTGGATAAGCGAGAACTCAAGGGACCCGAATATTATTCTCACTCAAGAGTTTTCTCATTTATAGAGATTAATAAAACTCAAACATAGTGCTAGAGCGTTAAGAAATAGGTAATACATATACACATTTGGCTATAAATAGGTACTTGTATTATTTATTTAAAGAAATCAGTTAATTTTTTCTGAGTATCCTTTTTACAATTTTGAATATGTTTTTCAATTTCATAAATTTTATCAAAAATGAAATCACTATAATTTTTTGCTTCAACATTGTGAGAGAACAACGTCAAACGTACTTTCTTCAATGATTGTTGTCAACTGAACCCAAATGTAGAGGATGAGTACCATGAGCAGGTAGGAAAAAGTGCACGAGTGTGCTGCAGATGTCTAGTAATTGTAAATAGTCTCGCTTACAGAAGTCTAGAGTGAGAAACTGTCACTTACGGACAGAGAAGAGAGACTAGTATAGAAGTCCAATTCAAATGGAGGACTAAAACGTGAGTATGAAATTCTAAATAGAACCAGGAGATGGCGTTGCTATGAAAATGAACGCCTCAACGCTGTATTGAGTCGGAGCAAAGAGTGAACGCAGTAATGGCAGGGGTAAATAGTAGAAGTGGTGGGATCATAGAACGCATAAGTCTTTTTACTTTGCTGTTGTAAGCCAAGTTTGTAAAGAAAAAAAAAAAACGGTTGATTTTCCGAAGCGACAACTACCGGTCGGATGACAGAAGCTTCGAGATTTACCGACATGTCATCCGAAACGAAGTCCGGATTATTAACCCAGCATTGGACTTCTATACTAGTCTCTCTTCTCTGCTTACGGAGATCTAGAAGTGAAAAATGTCTCTCTCTAAAATAGGTACTCACACTGTCACTCATAGAGGTTTTCAATGCTAAATATGACGGGACTTGACTATTTTTGTCGCTTATACAGTTTTCTCACTTATCCAGTTTTCGCTTATCCAGGTTCAACTGTAGTATAGTAAGAATTCCTTCCATTGCAAACAGTTAGAGCCACAACTGAAATTTTAATTACAGCACTAAATTCAGGTAGACCGATTTGCAACGTGGGTATCCTAGCTTCACAGGAATGACTATTAGAATTAGTAGAAACGCTGTAGTTACACGTTTTATCTCAATTCAGATAATTATTAATGTAAGTACCTACATAGTGTGACTACAGCACATCTGCCAAAGTAACCAATATCGCACGCAAAATTTACATTTATAAAATAGAACAAGTGTGCGAGCGGTACTACCTCACTGGCCGGGATTTCCACGCTTTTTCCTAACACTGAAACCAATGCCGATCGTCATTTAGATTTATTTAATACCAAATATATGTTTACCCTTAAAATCTCTAATCAAGAAGTCAAGAAACTTAATAATGGAAATCAACAACCAAATATAATATTAATAATAATTTTATGAATACAAATGCTCACAAAGGAAAAACACCTGACGAGGACCTAGATAAATTAGTTAGAAATCGGAAAAGAATCGATCCAATTTTTGATTTCTTCATAAAAGTAAAAGTGCTAATTAGCCAGGCCTTGTACCATAGATCGAAACAGGTGATAGAGGAAAAAACTTTTGGACTTTCTCAACATGGATTCGGCCCCATTGTCATGCTGCAACCGTTTATTTTTCAATTCTTAGTTCAAATGGCCACGTCTCATTGGTCCAGCAGAACGATATTTTCTTTCGTTTATAGCGGCCTCACTATGAGGGTCTAAAAGCATTCGGTAAGTCTAAAAACCGTAGATTTCTTCCTATTAAATAAATAAGTTTGTTGAATTGGTCCGAACGCGGCTATAGATAAGCTTATTAATAAATCAGACAACTCTGGATGCCACTGGCTATGATTCCTCGTGCAAGCACTTCAAAATATTTTTGAGAATTGATTTACTGTAAAAAAAAACGCAAAACAAAAAAACTCTNTAAAATAAAGTCCTTTGTAAAAACTCTCTTGTTGGAACTTTTATCATATTACAAGCACCTGATTGATTGATTTACTGCAAAAAAAACGCAAAACAATAGAGCTCTTAATTAATTCGAATTCTTTTATAATTAACAGATAAAAACAAATTTTTTGTGCGGTACACGATATGAGACACGATTTGATTTTTTGGGCAATTTTTCTCCATACATATAAATACGTCCAGAAAAATATAGAACAATTGTACTTTCCTAGCAACAAATAAAAAGTAGCAAAAATGTTTAAATTACTTTTCACGATTGCTTTTCTTGCATTAATAACGTATTGTTATTCACAAATCGCGTCACCTGGCCAGTGTG